AGAGAGATGGAAAGAGAGAAACAGAGAGTCCCAGAAGGAAAGTCCAATCTCAAAAGATGCCCTATTTTTTTTTTTTAAAGATAACTTGAATGAGTCTCTTTGTGATAGATCAATCAGGACTGAATGGAAGAACAATGGCATTTAGCCAGAAAGGTTGGCAGGTTAACATGCATGGCTCATACTAATGCCAGGATAATGCAAGAGAGTTTCAGGAGAGATGTTCTAGAAATGCCTAACCTCAATGACACTACTGTCATTCAGAGACCAACATGATCCTGGATGACGGACTCTGTAACTTGACTCTCCTGGAATCAGACCCAAGTTTGATACATTTCTGGGCTTCATTGGCGGACACAGTTGAAGTAGGATTGTGTCTATTTTGGACCCAGCTCCTGGATCCAGCCATATTTAACTAGATGGTCTGGGCATTTACAATATGTAGAGATGAAAACTAGGCAGAGAGTCTACAAGTATTATTTGGTTTGGGAATTGGTAAAAAAATATTGAGGCTGGGTTTGGTGGCTCAGTCTGTAATCCCAGCACTTTGGGAGGCCAAGGCGAGTGGATTGCCTGAGCCTGTGGGTTCCAGACCAGCAATGTGGTGAGGCCTAGCCTCTACAATAAATAAAAAATTAGCCTGGCATGGTAGCATGCATCTGTAGTTTCGGTTACTTGGAAGGCTGAGGCAGAAGGATCACCAGAGCCCAGCAGGTCAACGCGGGGATGCCCTCCAGCCTGGGTGACATAGTGAGACTCCAACTCAAAAAAATAAAAAATATATTAAACTAGTGATCAACATGTAAGATAGGGAGATTCAGATAGAAATTTGGAATTTTAACTTCTCCCATAAAGTTCAGGAGAGTTGGCCAACCTGGGCTCTCTTGTCTGTGTGGCGTTCTTTGTCAGAAATGAGCTGTGGGTAGCCAGCCCTGGTGTTCAGCATTCCCTACAATTGTCCCCTTGGCCTGCTTCATTCATTTTTGTGACCTTCCTCAAGGCATCTGAATTCATAATTTTTGTTTCTTTGATTTATTTCTGTCTTCAAGATTTTCTGTAGAACTTGTTGGACATGGATCCTACAGATCTGTTTTGGTCAGCAAGTTCATATTTCTTTAAGTCTGATCCCCTGTCTATATCACTGTATAAACATGTAGGTCTAAGCCATGGGACATGGCTCCACTTTTATGTTTTGCCCTTTGGTCTGAGCAAGTAAAGACACATCAGTATTCTTTCACTGTTTTCAGCCCCTTTGACAAAGATAACTCTTTACTTCAACTTTATGAGTGGTAGAGTTCCCAGACATTGGTGTTCCATTATCTTTTGCTGCTCGAATATTTTCAGTTTTTAAAAACTGCAAATATTAGAGCTCTCTGCTTCTCCACGGCCAGCCAAAAGAGGTCATGTCTATCTTATTTATCAGTATTGCCCAATGCATATGGTAGCCACTAAATAAATACTTGTTGATTGATGTACCCTTAGGTGGTACTCCCTAATCCCACCTACTGTCTAGTAGAGATGGTTAGAATGAGCTAAGCCTTGGGCTGAGTGGTCCTCGTCTGCACACACCTCAGCTTTCTTTTCAGGGTGGATGAAACCCTTCTCTGTTAGACATGTGAAGGCTGGAGGGTTCTGGAGACTTTCGACTTCATCAGTGATCCAGCAGAAGGAATAGGTGCTATTAGTCGGGTTCAGGATTGTAAAGGTCCTGTCCAAGGAGGAAGAATTGACAGAAGAGAGTCAGAGAGGGTACTAAAGATTAAGGGAACTTTCTTAGAACCTGGCCCTAATGTAGTCTCCCATCTGGGAACTGCTCCAAACATTTGGTTACTATACAAATGAAAACTCCATCTGCTCTAGGGATCCAAAGTATGCCTGGGGTTTTGGATTTTGGAGTAACAATGCTGCTAAGGGTATATCTGTGCCAATGATCCTCTGTGGTCAAAGTGGTCAGGGATTATACTTTTATGTCTTCCAAAGTTTCTCAGTGTCAACACTAAGGAGACAGAATTCAGCCTCCTTAATGTAACAGTTCTCTAAAGTCAGATCTCTAAAATTCAGGTCAAACCCCAGGATATCAAGCCTGCTTCCAGGAATATGTCTGGTGCACCTCTCTGAATTCTTCTGAGTTCTTTAGAAGGATTGTGAAAAGGCGTAAGATGGAGTTGATATATCCAAAGTGGAGTCATTTTTGACACTGCCTTGTTCTGTCATAGTCTCTTAACATCACCTAGCTTGCCCTCTAATCAAGGACAGAACTGGTTTCTTAGAGGTAGCTATTGATAATTGTTTTACAAACCCTCCCCAGCTTGTTTTGTATTAATTAGCTTTTCTATTCCAAGTGTTTGCTTTTCTATTCCAAGTGAGGATTTTGACCTAACGGATATGAATTCAACCAGTGCAAACCTAAGCAACTCACCGGAGACTCTTCCCTCCTATGCCCACAGTGGTGAACTCAATCACTCGGGTGTTTGGATCCAGAACTCCACCACCAGGCCCTCGGAGGTCTGGGTTACGCCGATGACCACTGATGTAGTCTGACTCTTTCAGATCAAAATGGCAGAAGGGCAAGAAGCTCCGCCCTTTTGCTACCAGGACCGGACCTTGCTCTCCAGGTGGCAGGTTTGGAATCCTGAGACGATAAAGTTATTGCTAGTTATGATTTATTTTGTCATCAGTTGTTGCTTTCTTCGTTGGTTGGAAATGAATATTATATTCACTGACATGTGAGCTCCATGGGAGTAAAGGTTTGGTGAGTCTGTCTTGGTCAACAGCATCACTCAGTGCCCTGCATGCATGAATGGGTTGAGTATAAGGAGCCTGAATTTGGCTCTTTCTGTAGGCCTAAGTATGGCTCCAGGTTACTTCCTCCATCAGCAGTGAGAAAATCTCCCTGCTGTAAAATGAGCACAGTCTTATCCTCTGGGCCTTCTCATAAGCATTTAGGGGGATAAGAAAAGTGACCTGCAAAATTCTATAAAAGAAAGCTCCTTGTAGAAGGTGGACTAGATATGAGCAGACCATCAACCTCAGGACTGAGCTGAGGTGGCCTATGTGTGGGAGGGGTCTTTGTGGTGTGACCGTAGAGGTTCAAGGAGACTCTGACAGCTCACACAGGTCTTTGCCACCCTAGGTCATGGCCCACAGGATTCTTCAGTAAGGCGGGTGTTGCTCTTCAAGTTTTCTTGGAAAGTAGTTTCCTGGGAGTGGGCACCACATCAGGGACTTTCATTGTCAAATGTCATTGGATTAATTTTTCTCTCATTATTATATACCAGGCCCACCAACTCCACCACCTCCATCACTACCTGTTTATTGTGTTTACTGTCTGCTAGGCACTGTTCTAAGCTTTTTACTTGAATTAACTCATTTAATTATTTCCAACAATTCTACCAGGTGAGTATTGCTATTTGCATTTTATATATTCTTTATAAGAAACCGAGTCTCAAAGAAGGTACTAGAATACTTTCCCAAGTTCGTGCTTGTGCAAGCACTGGAATCCACCTGGTTGTCACCGTTCTATTGCTTAGTAGAATCCTACATGTGGCCAGGAAGGGGGAAGTAGGCAGGGGAAAGCATCTGAAGAGGGCTGATGAATAGGACAAAGACCAAATTCACTTTGTTCCCTGGCCCTTTCCAGTCTTTCTAAAGGGGAAAGTGTTATTTTGGGGTTGTTTGAGAGGTCTAGGGCTGGGAAGAATGGTGGCAGTGGTTGGACAGTAGAGGGCATGAGGTGCAGAGCGTTGCACCTGCGAAGAAGGGGGTGCCTAGCAGATAGTAAACACAATAAACTCTACATTTCCTTACTGGCAGAAAAGGTTGCTCTCAAAGTCTCCAATGTCCAACGGGGAGAATTTCACTTTGAGCTTCTGAGTCTTTCCCACAGGCACGATGCCCAAAGAGGGCTCCACAGAAAAGGGCAATGAGGAACTCTCTGTCCAGTGGTCCACGGTGCTGTCAAGAGTGCTGCCCGTGTGCAGTGTTCCCTGGCTAAGCTGGTCTTTTTGAGTGAAACCTGAAGGGAGGGGGGAGGAGACAGAAAGTGGGTGAGAGTCTGCATCTGCAGCAAGAGGCAAGTGGAAGGCTGCCCACTCATGGGTCCTTAGGGACCCTCTGTGGGGTCTGTGGGCTCACCTTTTGTAGCAGGTGTCCTTAACCTTGGACACTAGAGTTAAGATACTGGCTCATATATCTCACAGGAGACTCATGGAAAATATTTCTATTTATTTCATAAAGTTTTAAAATTTGTTTTGTTTTGGCTCAAGAGGGTGGGTCAAGAAGGTGTCTGCATGTTTTCTGCCCTAGAATAGTGGTCTGCAAACATAATTTTTAGAAAATCATTGTTCTAAAGTAGGGGTTTACGATCTGGAGGCCCATGGATATGAGCCCACTCAAAAGGTTTGCAAATCTCTAAAACTGAAATAATAATAATGGTGATGATTTGCCTATCAGGTGTTGGGCCCCTTTCTAGGGCTTCACAGGTATCAAATATAAACTTGGGCATGGGTATGTATTTTCCTGGGAAAATGGTTCATAACTTTCATCAGTTTCTCCAAGGGGTCTATAATCTCTCAGAAAGTTAAACCTAAGAGACAAGGTTCCTAGTAATCTGAGAAATGGAGCATTGGTCTGGAGGAGGAGCAGGGTTCAGGCTCCAGGAATGCGAAGGTCAGCTCTGGAGTCTCTCAGGCTCATGCTCTGCTCTGCTTTTCCTTAGCTACTTAGGAGGCTGTCTGAGCAGTGCTGGCCTCTCCATAAACAAGACCCTTTTTTAAAACTGGTGACTCAGGTCAGGCCCTGGGTTTACTTGTTATTGCCTTTACCTTGGTTTTCAGGCATTGCAAAACTGACTGCCTTTGAATTGTCTTCGGAGACCCAGCTGAATTCCAGCTGCACATGTCCTGAATTAATCAGGTCAAACCTGCAAATTGATCAGGAAACAGATTTGATAAATGTCCTGTCTGCATGTCCATCTATGCTGTTACTTAACTTTTCTTTAAGTCACTTTGTTGCTTAAATTTTTTTTTTGAGTTGGAGTCTCACTCAAATGCCCAGGCTGGAGTGCAGTGGCATGCTCACAGCCACCCCAGCATTGATCTGCTGGGCTCAGGTGATCCTTCCACTCCAGCCTTCCAAGTAACCAGAACTATGGGTGCGTGCTACCATGCCCGGCTATTTTTTTATTTATTGTAGAGACGAGGTATCACCAAGTTGTCCAGCCTGGTCTCGAACCCTTGGGCTCAGGCAATCCTCTTACCCTGGCCTCCCAAAGTGCTGGAGTTATAGGCTTGAGCTACCATGCCTAGCCTAAGTCTTTTTTCAAAGGCATGTTTAGAGAAATTTTGTCTGAAATCATGCATTTTGAGGTACTAGCTATATTTCCTGCTGAAATACATAAAATATATACCCAGTGATTAAAAGTAAAAATATCCAAATGTTTAGCACTTAAACATGGTGATGTTAAACTCATTTAAACACACTTAAACACATTTTGCATTCTACCAACACCCTATGTAATGAGGTTTCAGCACGCAAAGTGATCCCAAAAAATTCCCATGAGAGAAGAAACAAAATTTATTTCACATGACAGAATCACCCTCTGAATCACCTCCTACAAGAAACAATGCCCCTGTGATCAGAAGTCATTTATCCTGTGATGAGAAGCTGATGCCTTCTCTGACTGTGACCCAGACATGGATTTTTGTTGCTTGGAACTCAAATTCTGAATCAGCAGAGGTTTTTCTTGCCTCAAATTTCCCTGCTCTAAGACAAGAACAGGAAGACAGAAGCTTTTTCTGGAGTCACTTGATCACAGTAACAGCAGAAAAATGAAGCTTTGATACAAGAAAATGTATTTATCTGGTGTCAGATAAATAAATACACATGCCCTTCTTGGTTTTAGGGGACTAGTAAGGGTTGGTAGTTCGGGTGGGAGTAGGTCTAGAGTGCAGTGTAGAGATTAGATTTCCATTATTCAGTCCAGGTAGACCATGCAGGAACGCCTGAAACCAAGTGTTTGAACCACAGGGGCTTGTGTTTATTTTGTGAATCTATAAGCACTGGTGTTCATTCTAAAGATAACTTTTACAAAGTGGAGAAATCTCAGTGGGAGAGCACTTTTCATAGAAAGAGTTCTTAATTTAGGTTGGGGTTAGCAAACTCTTTTGTATAGGACCAGATAGTAAGTTTTTTTTTGGCTTTGTCTCTGCACTTACTGAGCTCTGCTTTTGTAGTGCAAAAGCAGCCACAGACAAAACATAAATGAGTGGGCATGGCTGTGTGCCAACAAAACAAGAACAGGCTATGGGCCACAGTTTGCTGACCCCTGCTTAGGTGAAGTGACCATCAGCAGCAAATCCAACTTCCTGATATATCTTTTGGTTCTATAGTAATTGGAGAGGACATTTGAAGTTCAACAAATACAAAATGAGTTGAATGAGTTAATTACCAGTTTTATACCATAGAAATGTGAGTGATTTACATTTTTGTCCTTTACATGTTGTACATGCTGCTATCTCAGCCTGGAAGGCCCTTCATTCTTTTTTTTTTTGAGTTGGAGTCTCACTCTGTTGCCCAGACTGGAGTGCAGTGGCCGCTCCCGACCACCGCAGCCTCGACCTGCTGGGCTCCGGCGATCCTTCCAGCTCAGCCTTCCAGGTAGCTGGAACTACAGGCGTGTGCTACCACGCCTGGCTAATTTTTTAAAAAAAATTTATTGTAGAGATGAGGTCCCACTAAGTTGCCCAGGCGGGTCTCGAACCTGCGGGCTCAGGCAATCCACTCACCTCACCTCCCAAAGCGCGGGATTACAGGCTGAGCCACTGAGCCCAGCTTGGCCCTTCATTCTTACTTCTTTACCTGTCTTCTAAAATTCAGTTGGGGACACCACCTCAGTTGGGGATACCACCTTATCTGGGAAGCTCTGTCTCGTCCCATATCTTGATCTGCTTTAGGTACTCTTCTGCTGCATGCATATGACATTATGCTTCAACTGACAATTCTGTGTCTATCCATTGCCTCACCCCACCCACAGGCTATTAGCTCTTTGAGGGCAGAGCCCATAGCATCCTTGGATCCCTGTGTCTGAGTGTGGGTGGAGGGTTAACATAGCCTTTTCTCATTTTCAAAGACAAATTTGACTTTGCATTGACATTCTAGCACTGTTCCCCTGGCAACCTGATAAAGGAGAAAAGTCAGCTGTATTATTAGGCGACACTGTGTATAGTAAAAATTACCCCTGAGTAGTAAAATATAAGTATATGGGGAGGAACCATGATTCCCTGGAGGGAAATCATGGCCTTGGGGCTCTCAGAATGTAGTGACTCTTGTAACTGAGGATGTTGTTTGCGGGGATCCTGGAAGTTATATCCATGCAGTGGTTATAAAAAATGTTGGTTTTTGTTGGATATGGGGTTTCTAAACTAAGATGGATCCCATACCCACTTGTGTGGGTATGATCTGGGCTGCCCTTTGGAGTGAGGGAGCAACAAGAACATATCCTGGGTGGCTGCATAGACTGCTGCAGGGACTATTCTCACTAAAATGAATTGCCTGATACACTCTTCTGGTAGATCATTTCCTGGACAATATCTTGGTTTCAAGTATGAACTTCAATAGCTTTGTGGGTCTGAATGTTTTATTGAAGACAACACTCTGGTGCATGCTACACAGATATCATGTCTGGAATATTCTGTCATAGATACTAAATAAATATTTGATGAATGAGCGAGTGAATGATGGAATGAAAGAGCTTCCCTGTCTAGTGTTGTGAGGCTTCTTTGCATTTATTTTTTCCTCAAGAATATTTCAGGAGGGCGTCATGAGGTTTTTGATGACTTACTCAAACACTCGAGTCTGGTAAACCAGTGTGTCCTTAAAGTGCACATCGCTCATTTGGCATTGGTATGAAGCAAAATCCACATTGGCACTGATATGAAGTTGTAGTTCTTGATAGTTTTCTTCTAGTACTGAGTGGGCAGGCTCAGGATCCATCTCTATCACCTGCATGTAACAAAGGCAGCTGTGTCCTCAGCGATGTGGAGCACAGGGGTAGACAAATTGACAATGGGATAGACTAGAGAGATTAGAAACCTCTTAAGCATACATAACATTTAGATACAGTATATGAGAACCAAGTCCCGGCAGATCACTAGGGAATCAAGAGGCTAAGCAAAAAACCAGATTTAGCAAGATTCTAGATGAAAAACGAACTTGGGTCCTTACCTCACAGCATACATGAAATCTGTGTGGGCTGAGGGCTTAAATATGAAGAGTAAATCTCTTAAACTTGAAATAAAGAAGGTGAATATTTGTCTAGGTTTTAAACATAAGACATAAGAAGTAATAAACAGAAAAGAAGGGATGAATAACTTTGACTATATTAAAATTAAGAACACTTTAATTCATTAAAAGATATATTACAGAAAGTGAAAAGATAAGCTATAAATTTGGTAAGGATATTTGTAGACAAATGGTATAAACAGAACAGTTGATCAAAAGTAAAATAACATATGTAGGACAAGTATTATATTGAAAAATGGGCAAAACACATGAAAAAGCATTCATGTAAGAGATCACTTGCATGGCCAAGAATCATATTAAGAAAAACTCCACATTATTAGTGATCAGGGAAATGCAAATTAGGCCCATAGTGAGACCATTTTCCATTCATTCAAATGATAAAAATCAAGAGGTCTGACAATGTCAAGTGTTGGAGAGGATGTGGATCAGTAAGATCTCTTTGCTGTAGGAGTATAAATTGGTACAGCTACTCTGGAAAACACTTGGGCATTATCTTGGAAAGTTAAACATCCACATAAGCAACGACTCAGCAATTCTATCTGTAGGAATATAAACTATTGTCAATGAAAACCATGTGAACAATAATGCTCATAGAAACACTGTCCACAACAGCATGACTCCAAATCATTTTCAAAAGAAGAGATAGACTTTTATATAGCAGTGAAACTGATACAGTACAGTCACATGCAACAATATGGATGATCACATGCAATAACCTTTTAAGAAATAAGTTAAAATGACAACTAAACAGTATATCTTTTAGAATGCACAGGCTAAAAAAGAAACAAAAAAATCTAGGGAGTGAACAAGGCAAGAGTCAAGATAGCGATTACCTCTAGAAGGGAGGCAGAGGGATGGAAGGCTGAGAACCACACAGGTAGCAAATGCTCTACTTCTGTGTTGAATGTGGGTTTGTCTCTGGTTATTACACTTATTAAAAATAAACCAACCAAGGAAGCGTGCACGGGTTAAAGATGAGATCCTGTTGTGAATCAAAGATGATGACTAATTTAATTATGGACGCCCAGGGGAAAAAGGAAACAACTAAAAGACTAGCCTTGATGTTTTTGATGAAGAAAAAGGTGAGAGTTATTCAGTTATCAAGACATAAGTGAAAGGTCTACCAATTAAGATGTGGGGTACATGTAGTATGGAATGCAGGTGGCATGTGTGCAAATTCAGTTTGACACATGAAATCAAGGTCAAGTAGAATGGAGACCTCTTCTTTTTTTCCATGAAAGAAGGAAATGATGAGACAACAAGCTTGAGAGCAGTAGGCATCCAAGCACAGCAGGCCTGGTCAGATTTGTACTTGATGTCCCCACTTACTTTTCGTTTTGAAGTGAACGTCCCAGGTGTGTTTCTGGACACATCCACCCACTTGATGGTGCGCATGCGGTCATCCCAGTCAGGGACCTTTTCTGCAGGAAGCTGAAATGTGATCCTGGAGAGCTTGCACCTGACTTGCATTTTCTTCAGGTTGATGGGTACATCTGACTTCATGGTTGCCACTATGTCCTTAGCACACCCAGGGTGGAGGTGGCCCATCTGGGGAAGAGCCTGGTATTAGCATTTTTTGAGAATACAATCTTTTT